GCGCTCAGTGGGGTCAAGGAAAGATCAGAGGCCGGGGCGCCCCGTGCGCGGTTGGATGGATGCCCTAGGAGAGGGGATCCTAATGCCCAAGAGGAGAAAAGAAAAAGGAAAAAAAAAACTCCCTCAACTACTGGTTAAATCAAATTTTAAAACTAGATTCTTAGAAAAAACTCATCTGACTGAGCGGTTTTGATTGATGTGTGTGTGGCACGTTAGTGCCAAGGTCGCGTCCGGAGACCCGCGGTGGACGAGAGTGGCGGCTGCAAGTGGAGTGAGCGACGCCGCTCGGAGAAGGTAGCTCACGTCACGTGCAGCGTCGACGCCTCCTCTTTTCCCGCTGGGCCGATGTTGGCGCTCACGGCGGCAAGAGGACACGAGGAGGCGGCGGCGAGCTAGCGCAGGGGTCGCCAGCGACGGGAGGAGCGCAGGGTTCGCGAAGGCTCGGTGCGGGCAAGCTGGACGGTCGGGATCATTGATCGACATTGGCACGGGAATTGGACGGTTAAGAAAATACAGACAACGTGGCCCAATAAGAGCATAGGATGTATGGTGCAGGATTCGTAAAGTAAAAGATTATGCTGTCGACGAACCACAATACCATTTGCACCTTCTTTTTTTTGAGAAATTCATTTCCAATAATATTAAGGAATTGGATGTGCCTGAACCGACTACTGATGTCAGGAAAAAACAGCTAGCATTGTTCCCACTACACGCAAAAAAATCACAGGGGTCTACTGCCATACATCATTACACACAGTTTCAATAGAACATCTGATAGTTTGAGGCTACATGAAGCAGGTTCGGTCGGATTAATTGGGCTTGATCCATAACTAATCTAGCAATTAATCAAATAATTCTACAAGTAGTCCTAAGAGCGAGTGGAATTATAACCACACCAGGAACCCACTAGGAAGGTGCTCAACTTAAATAGGAAGCTATAGTGTGCTTCTATAGACATGTTGAGGAGGAGAGTTGGGAGGCCACGCGCACATCTCTATGACGTGCCGTGCCATACCAAGCCACGCCATGCCCAGCCTATAGCCTTGGGCCTTGTCCGAACATGATGTGCTGAGCCACCTTGGGCAGATGGTCAAGGCAAAGGTGGTTGTGATTTCGTCGGCCCCCAACTAGAAGACAAAGGAGGACCGGTGTCGCCAAGAATACGAAGACAGAAGCATAGGGCGCAAGAAACCCTAGGAGAAACCATTCGATTTGTACTCCCATCGCCTTTCCAGTCTATAAGGGAAGACATGGGCTCCTACAAAAAGGGACGGCCGGACAACGATAACACCCTAGATTAGCATAGTGATATCCCCTACACCTCTCACTCTCTCTTCCTTTATTGTAAGAACTCTCGATTGGGCATTCCTAACATAAAAGAACACCACTGTTGGACATAGGGCTTAGAGGCCTGTTGACAGTCATTAACATCAATTATAAACCGTCAACATATCCTACATATATACATAATTCCATCGCCAGACATAGGTATAGGGTTTAAACTGACAAATTCCACAAGTTTTGCTAAATCTGTGTTTTCAGCAAGGTATATCCAAAAACATCAAGGGGGACCTAAACGTCAGAATTAATCATACTTATCCACGACGAAACCAGTACCAGAAGGTTCCAGAAGACACCAAAAGGCAACCCTCCGTGATAGACCTCGAGAGGCTAACATGTGGGGCCAACTGGCCCCACCTGTAGGCCGGCCGGCCCATGGGACCCATATGTCATGCTCTCCTTTGAATGTCGGTTCTCCACCGCCTCCTAGATTACATCTATGCCATCCTTTTAAGTCGGTTTGATTCGAGGGTCCGGAATTGATGCTATCCCCTATATATACGGCCCTGTACCCCCTCTAGCAGAGCTATCCTGAAAACCCTAATTCATATCCTCCTTATTAGGATCAGAGCCAGCTATCAAGAGAAGATTAGTCCTCCTTAGGATCTAGTCTTGTAAATAGAAATAGTGAGAAAGAGAGTGAGGAAAGAGTTTGGAGGAGGTGTCGGTGCTCTCTCTCTACGGCTTGTACCTTGATGGATCCAAGTTCTATCTGAGCTTACCTCTGAAATTTCTCTGGTAATCAACTTCTGATTCAAGTAAGCATCTTGTTTATATTGTTCATCAGGATTGCGACTCTTTTGAGTGCTTTATTCTTGTTCTAGAGGGAGTAAAGTATTAATCATAAGTGTAAGCGTGGTTCTTAGACTTGGGTTAATCGTGGATGCACCCTGCATTCCGGATCGGTGGTAGCTCGCGAGGGTGACTTTTATAGCCTCGTTGAATCCTTTGTAGTCCACCTCCCGTTTGTAGGCCAAGTAGGACCCGGTTACGAAGGAAAGTATCCTCTGCTGGTGTCTTTCCTTAGTAATGTCCCAAGTTGAATAGTAGAAGACATAGCTTACCAAAGTCAGAACAAGATAACATTAGTTATCCTCTCTACGCACCTGTTTATCCTAACCTTGTTGCTACCTTTAGTTAAGTTAGACTGTAGTTAGTCTCACACGTTTCCCTATGGATACAATACTTGGAATACTTCTGGATGAAAGCTACAGCGGTATCCGTGCGCTTGCGGATTTGTCTGTGTGAGTTGATAAATACTAACAAGCTTTCTAACGCTGTTGCTGGAGAAACGGTTGCTGAATTAACTATGAACCTAGCTTAGGTTTTTGTCTTTTGTTTTACTTTTTTTCTTTTAGCATGGATAACACACCTATATATCAGTATGCTAAACCCACGAGCGTAAGCCTAAAGTCATCAGAATCTTCAGAGCCTATCCTAACACCTTACTATGAGTTGCGCCCGTGTTTAATAAAATTGATTTGGGAACCATCCTTCTCGGGAGAAGACAATGAAAACATATACTCACACCTATGGGAGTTTGCACAAACCTGTACATGCTTGCATATCGCTGGCATGTCTGATGAAACCTTAAGATGGAAGTTGTTTCCGTTCTCTTTGACGGCTTGTGTCGTATTAATATAAGCTAATTATTATTTTTAGAGATTAAACTAGATTTTATTAGTTTCAAAAAATAGAAAGACAATATTTGAAACCAGCTAGAGAACCAAATGTGTTCTGTTACAATAGTTGAAGGGTGTTTGATATCCCGTTTGGTATATACTTCAGGATTAAAAACAGGACTAATATGCAAGTGGGAGGTTGAAAATGGAAGTTTACCCTCTACCACTACTGCTGAAGTTTGAATCCACAAAAAGTTCTGTGTTGGAAGAGAAGAACATATATACCAATCTTGAGAATAGACAACACGGCAGGGATATACCACCAAAAACTGACGAATCCAGCGTTGCTCATGAGTCATGCCATCATCTGTTCTTTGCTTGTCCGAGTAACTGAGGCGTCTTTCTCTAGTGTTCTTGGTTCTATAAAAAGACTTCACCAAGGGACACTGGTTTATTGCACTACCGGAAAACCTTAAATTTGCCGACTGTTTTTATGTTAGCCGAGTGCATTCTCTAGGGCACTCGGCAAACAAATTCTTTGCCGAGTGCTATCCTAAAAACACTTTGCAAAAAAAAACATTCGGCAAAGAGGGGGGTTTGCCGAGTGTCAAACAAAAAACACTCGGCAAATAGGGGGTTTACCGAGTGTCAAAAGAACACTCAACAAAAAAAGAGGTTTGCCGAGTGTCCAAAAACAACACTCGGCAAAGAAAAAAATGAAGAAAAAAAAACCCACCCGCCCCTCCCCTCCCTCACGCACATGCACCGTGCCCCAAGTCACAACGTAACTTTCCTCCTCCATCCATCCCTCCAAATCAGATCTAATGGCTCAAAATAGATCCAGCCCTTCAACACATGAGACTTGGCTGTTTTTCTCAGACATAGATAGCAGATAGCAGCAAAAGACAGTAGTTCACAGTTTCAAAAAAAAGGACAATAATTCAGGTCCATAATTCAGATGGACATGTACATAGCAGCTCACTGCATTTTCAAAGCACAGTAAAACACAGAAGTTCAGACACATTCATACATCAGCTTATACAACAGCTAATCAATTAAGTGACAGGACTCGGTCAAGTGCTTACAAAGCTTCCATCAACTACTTACAAGTGTTGTTGCTCCTACATTCTGACATTCAGATGTCCACTTGATGGGTATTGTGACATACTTCACAAAATACTATAGTTAGCCCACAAAATACTATAGTTAACCTGTCAAAAATACTATCTAACTAGGTGATAGAAGCTAGAATAGATCTTGACGATCTAAATTTGCCAAAGTTGGAACAGTTATGAGCTGAGTAAAATTGTCACTGACAGTGTACTCTTGAAGCTCAACTTCTCCTTTGTTCTTGCCATCATGTTCTCCTTCTACTTGAGGCTCTGCACCACCTTTTTTCTTTTTTTTGCTGCCAAGAAATTGCAATTAATTAGAAATGTCAACATTTAGATTGCAATGACAACATATAGAAATGTTCAGATTGCAATAACAACATACTTTTGCTTTCTTCTTTGCTGGTACAGCAGATTTGGTTGGTTTGCGCTTCACCTTACGCAACTTATTTAACCAAGTTCTCTGTCTCTTTGATTTCTTTGACTAAACTTCCTTTTTCTTCAGCTGTGCAGCACTAAGGGCACCAAGAATTTCCATGCCTCATCACGATTTCTGAACCTCAAACCAATTTCAGGTATCTTCCTATCAGATTCTGTCATTCCCTTCCAGAACTCAGATTCTAAACTTCCACAACTCAGATTCTGAACTTTCACAACTCACAAAACCCAGGCATCAGCTAGTTCTGTAAACCAAACAATGCACATATGTGCTTGAAAATTCTAATTCCACTAGTTCTGTAATACAACAGTGCAAAAAGCTAAAACGCCTAACAGTCCTATAATGAAATCAGGCAAATTAACCTTTCTTGGTTCACTAAATCTCAAATTTGGAAGCATTCTTGTATATGACTTCGTTCTATTTTGCATCAGTAAATACCAATGACAAGGAACCTAGATTTAGTGGTCGGCAGGGGATTCGTCTCCCATGGCGGCGCGACAGCACCACGGGCTGGCGGAGACGCGCGAGGAGGCCGGCGGCGGCATGGAGGCCAGCGGGGTCACGGGAGGCTGGAGGCGACGCTCGAGGTGGCCAGCGGCGGTGCGGGAGGCCAGAGGGGACGGTGCGTGGGAGGCCGCCGGCGACGCGCGAATCTAGCAGGGTCACAGGCGCGCGGGAGGCCGGCGGCCACGGGCAAGGCCCGTGGCGGCGCGCGAGGCCAGCGGGGTCGCGGGACAGCGCGAGTCCGGCGCGGCCGCGCGGGAATCTGGCCCTCGCTCTCGCGGCCGCATACACTGTAAAAAATTGGATAGATATTTGTATTTTAATTGCAAGTGTTGTGAGCCTTTGGATGTGCTTGGACGGCGGATGAAGGGTCGCAAGTTACGCTGTGACTTGCCTCAGCTACGTTACTGAATCTCTGTCCACGCACACCCCCTCTCCCCTCCCTCCCAGCTCCCTCCCTCCCATCCTCTCCCGCGTGCAGCCGGTGCCTCCCCTCCTCCCGCAGGCGGCCGGCCCCCTCCACTCCCTCTCTTCCCCGGCCCCTCCCTCACAGGCGGCGCCCCTATATATAACGTTTACTAGCTAAGGGCTAGTACTTGATAAAATGTGATACTGCTGTACATGTACATCACTTTAGTAAAAGAAAAACTGCAAGAATGCATTTGTTCAGCTGAATATAAAACAGATTTAGCAAGGCATTTGTTTGAACTTCAGTTATTTTTTTTCTTAAAGCCACAATGTGGACGAGTATATTAGAAGGAGCGAGAGCAAGGCACCAGAGGTGTGGCAGCATGCATTAGCGCTCTTGATGCTTTGGACAGTTTCAATGCATAAGTAATATACTATATGTAGCGTTGGTTTAGAGTAGATTTCAGGAACTTACCGTCCAGTATGTGAAGAACCTCGGGTTGCTATCTCCATACAGTTCAGGGCTCACCTGAGTAAACAATGGAAGCAGGAAGTTAGCACTGTCTCCAGCAGAATCTGTTTGACTGACCCAAGCTAGCATGCTGTGGAACTGGAACTAACAGCATTTCAAGTCAATGGGCACACATTTCCAATCGAGATCACAGTGATGGAATCTAATTAATGAGCGCCAGTTCTACATCACCTTAATGTACTACCAAAGTCAACATACAGCCACATGCATATGCATCCCTCACCGGCGGCGCCCCCCCTCCCCTGGATCTGCCGCCCCGCCCCTCCCCTCCCTCACCGGCGGCGCCCCTCCCGCGGATCTGCCGCCCCTGGCACTCGGCAAAGTAACTGTATCCCGTAGTGTTGGCTGCGTTGATCGATCTAACAGTTGTTGTTTCTCCTTGCATGCCTGCCTCCATCAACGTCCAGCTGCCAACTGCCAAATTATGGAAGCAGGTATTAAAATCTCCTTGTTTGTTGTACCTCCCACAAATTAGAGCTTATTTGATCCAAGGGGCAAACAACGAGTTAATCCTTTATAAGCATATAATTTCATAATATATAGGAAGCACACTAGTAGGTGCGGTGGTGCATAAATTAATAACTGGTGAGCATTGTGGTGCGTGTTTATCCCTGTGTAATGGGTGGGTGAGATATTGTATACTGTCGTGTGCATATTAATTAGAATCTGAATATGTGCACAAACGGACGGCCGATTCAATTCCGTTCCTGTTTCGTTATTACTGACAATTATTGAGAAGACAGTTCAATACTTTTCTGGAACAATATACTGATTTTCGATCCAACAATTTATTATTTATATCTAGGGAAAAGGACAATGCGCTTGTTCGGCTGGATTCATACCAGCCGAACACTGCCAACGATGATGGACAGACGGCTGCTTGATGCCGCGGCATCTGGTGACGCGACAATGATGAAACACTTGGCCCTTCATGACCCAGCCGTGCTGCTTGGAACAACTCCACAGGGCAACACCTGCCTCCACATCTCCGCCGTGCATGGCCATCATGGATTCTGCATGGATGTCATGGCCCTGAACCGGTCGCTCCTCTCCGCTGTCAACAATGACAGGGAGACTCCACTTGTCGCAGCAGTGACAAGTGGCCGTACCAGTACCACTTTAGCTTCATCTTTTCTCAGGTGCTACAGTGATCTCCATCTGAGCGAGGCAATCTTGATGCAAGACGAGCATGGGAACAATGCATTGCACCACGCCATCCGAAGCGGCCACAGGGAACTTGCGCTGGAGCTGATCGCAGCGGAGCCTGCTTTGTCCAAAGCTGTGAACAAATACGATGAGTCACCCATGTTCATCGCGGTGATGAGAAATTACAAGGATGTCTTCGAGAAACTGTTGGAGATTCCTGATTCTGCCCATGGGGGGATGAAGGGCTACAATGCTCTTCATGCTGCGGTGAGAAATGGAAATTCAGGTGAGACATGCCAGGTCCTATACCTTTTTGCTTCTTCTTTTTTTCGAGAAACTAAAATCTGTGTAAGGGGTGACGTACTATTATTCTTTTGGTTTTAGTCCATGCCAAGTGAGTGAGCCAATCCAAAAATTTCTGGGGAATAACAAAACATGGCAATAAAAAATTTGTTTCGATTTTGTGGCCAAGCCAATCTATGAGAGAGAAGATTGCCTTTTTTACTATCCTTCCTACACTACTACAATAAACTTAGTGAAGGCAGGCGTTTTTTATTTTCGGATGCGGGCAAAGGCAACCGGCTCCGTCAAAAGATCATGGTTAATCCATGAATAACAGAGGTGGTTGCCTTGCCCGCCTCGGTTAATCAGTTAGCGGGGTAAATCGATAAAAAAAAACAAAAGAATTTAGGCCCGACGCCGAGCCCTCTCAGGCCCAACGCTGGGCTCGCTTCCTAGAACGACATGCCGCCGCTGGTGGTCGGATCCACGCCCACGCCGCTGCTGGTTGCAGGATCCACGTCGGTGGGGGTCGATCCGCGCCCTCGCCACCGTTGGTGGCCAAATCCGCGAGCCCGGATGCCGGATCTAGCCGAGCAAAATGCATGCATGATGGCCCGTGCAATGTCCTCCTCATTCCAAAGCTAGGCATGGCAAATATTAGTTAGCTGGGGCATGTCAAACTATATTGGCCACGAACCAATGCAAATGGGTGACAAAATTTTTCTGACTAGCTTGTCAAATATGGCTTGGGCCGAAAACAGATACAAAGCAGACGTGCCCTTTAATTTATTACCACCCCATCATATCACACATGTCGTCATTCGATGGATGTTGACCTTCTTTAATTACTTAAGGCATGTTTAGTTTCCAAAAATTTTTACCCCAAAGTGTCACATCGAATCTTGCGGCACATGCATGGAGCATTAAATATAGACGAAAAAAAACTAATTACACAGTTAGGTGAGAAATCGCGAGACGAAACTTTCGAACCTAATTAGTTCATAATTAGACATTAAGTACCAAATACAAACGAAAGTGCTACAGTAGCCAAACCCAAAAAATTTCACGAACTAAACGCGCCCTTACATGATTTGCAGCTATCGCTAAACAGATTATGGAGACACGTCCTGCGCTCGCAACAGAAGAAGACAAGTATAACAAAAACACTCCACTGCACCTGGCTGTACTTCGGGACAAGATTGACGTGCTAAGTGTACTGTTGGATCATGATCGGTCTTTAGGGTATGTAGCCTCCTCACTTGGTGCCCCTCTTCTTGTTTCTGCTGCATTCAGAGGCCATGTTGGTGTTGCCCGAAAGCTTCTTAAACATTGTCCAGATGCGCCCCTTGCTCAAACAAATGGCTTGATATGTCTGCACGTAGCTGTGTGGGAAGGACAGATGGAGTTCGTAGATTTTGTCCTGGGTTTGCCACAATTCGGTAGACTCATTAACATGCGAGATAAAGATGGAGATACTGCTCTGCACCTCGCAGTCCAAAAGTGCAATCCGAAGATGGTCGCTGCTTTACTGCTTCACCCAGACATAGACGTCACAGTGCTTAACAACAGAGGAAGCGATGTAATAGGGAAATTGTGGACTACCACCGACCATTCCAAGACATTAAACTGGGTACGAACGTTACGTCGTATATAAGTTTTCTTAATTATTAGTACGTATAGTACTACTTTCATTACTCCACTAAAAATCAGTGCTTATGCCAATCTTCTCTGCACGCGCGTGTCGATCCATCTTCCTTACCTGAAACATCAGATTTAGACTATCATGGTTACCAAGCTCCTTTTGCATCTTTCTATATGCAGAACGAAGTATCCATGCTTATGTTGAAAGCTGATCCTCAAAACGCAACACATATTTATAATGTCTGGAGGGAAGCCCACCATAAAGTGACAAAATCATCTAGGGAGGATATCAAGTCACTGACTCAAACATATACAGGCAACACTTCACTGGTGGCGATTCTCATTGCCACCATTACCTTTGCTGCTGCTTTCACTTTGCCCGGAGGATATAGCACCGATGCTGGAACCGAGGGGCTTCCCATCATGGCAAGGAAGTTTGCGTTTAAGGCATTCCTGATCTCCGACACCTTGGCTATGTGCTCCTCACTTGCTGTTGCCTTTGTATGCATCATAGCCAGGTGGGAGGATCTTGAGTTCCTGCTTCACTACAGGTCTTTTACAAAGAAGCTTATGTGGTTTGCATACATGGCAACCATCACAGCATTCGCAACTGGTTTATACACTGTTCTGGCTCCTCGTCTCCTATGGTTGGCCGTTGCGGTATGCACTCTGACGTCTTTGCTGCCCATTCTGACTAAGATTCTTGGTGAATGGCCCATCTTGAAACTTAGATTTCGGTTGGGTCGGAATTTCAATTCAGAGCTCCTCGATATGGTCTAGCTTCATCACCTTCAGTTATTGGTTCCATCTGCTTTATGTTGGAAACATAAGGGAACAACATATGTTGAAATGTTTGCCAAACAGCACTATTGTTTGGGTAGTTTGGAATCGCTATAATAAAGCCTGTGTAGATGAGTGATAGTATTTTATTTCCGAGTTGGACATCCTACAACTCTGCTACTTTGTTGATGAGAAATATGTTAGGTTCCACAGGGTTTGTCATCATAATTCATATTTTTTTCAAAGGTAACTGTTTGCAACAAAACTTATGGGTTTTATATTTGGAGTCGTAGACAGGAAACAGAAGTGCTGGCCTTTCGAGGAAGAAATATACATTAATCAAAAGGATGCATATCTCCATCTGCAGGGTTAAATATTCTTCTGTTAGGGATGGACACGTGTTCCATAAACTTATTTCAGTAGCACTCTCTCAGAGTGAAACACAGAAATGATATGAGAGGTCTGCTGCTGGCTGCAGCGTCATCTGGCTGTTGGAAAGCAGCACCACAAATCAAATAAGAAATATGCGCCAATTATATACGTAAGCCCCAGGATGTAAATCATGTAATGTAATATATAAGTACCACATCGTGCATATACAAAACAAAACACCCGGCCAGGTGCCTACCAGCATGTCCCAGACCTTCTCGAACTGGTCTAACATTTCAATTTAGAAAGGAGTATGAAAATGATACAGAAATGCTAAGCGAAAAGCACCACAATGCTGCAGATGCATGACTGGTCACTGATGGGCCAACAATGTTTCACATTGCTACGATTACAGCTAAAATTTGGATGACGATACAGCTGATCCATCTTACAACACAACGAGAAGACAATCTGGAGGATACACAGCAAGGCAAGGATGTACAAATGTAAACACCACATATCGATAGACATTACAATAGAATCACAAATCCTAGTGCTTGCCTGATAAAAGATAGAGAAATGATTCTAATCAACCTGATTATTCCAAGTTAAAGCAACTCCTATCATATTTGGTATCTGACAAGCACATACTCATCACATAGGTTCAACTACTTTGCTACAATAAGCTCATCTTCAGGATTGGCATTTTGAGGTTGCATCGTCAATTCATCATCAGCTGCACTGAAATGATATTTCTCTCCAACAGCTCTCAGAAGCTGGTAAACCTCTAACACTGTAGGCCTTTCCATTGGAGAAAAAAGCACACAAGAGCAGGCAAACTTCATGCATTGAAGCAGCTCAGCATTGTTGTCCTTCCCAATCAAAGATCGTTGGCATCCTGTAGTATAGAGTTGTTTGACAGGTAAGTTATCCAATCCACCAAACTCCCTTTGAAGATCTGTGGCGCATTTGACAATCCCAAAGCTGTAGACATCCCCTTTTGTAGCGGCCACAAGAGTGCGTGTATACTCACCGTCCACAAATGTGCTCAGGTGGATGTCAATGGGATTGGAGTTCTCACCGCGATCCATCTAATAGAATCTGATAACCCAACCATTATTGGCAAAATTAATTCCTTGCTTCGTTCTAGACATCTAAGTATCTTTTTTTTACTTTCCCCTTTCGCCTTTGCTTTTCCTTTTTCCTCCATTGCTTTTGTATTTTGCATATAAATAGGCTGCTGCGAGGGCAGGAACAAATTCCATGCGTGTGCCTAGCTACCCTCTTGTCTGATTGAGTACTCCTTGCCTCATCACTTGTATATTGAGATCTATGTATCTTTCTTTTTTCTTTTCCCCTTTCGCTTTTCCTTTTCCTTTTCCCTCCATTGCGTTTGTATTTTGTATATAAAGAGGCCGCAGCGTGCACTACTGGAAACTCGAATTGTTCTGTGGATGATGAATTTTTCTGTGCGTTTTTCGGTACACACAGAAAAATTACGATTTTTCTGTCGGTTACAAAATCACACACGGAAAAAATCAGCATTGATAGAAAAATGCAATTTATTCTGTCGGTTCTTTAAAAACGCACAGAAAAAATATGTGCATGCACAGAAAAATTCTAACCCTAACCCGCCGGCCGCCGCGCCCCCAAACACCCTCTCACGCACACACTAGACCGCGCCCCCTCCCTCACTCTCTCCTTTCAGCGCCTCGCGACTTAGCGCCGCGCCCCTCCCTCTGCGACTCAGCGCGGGGGCTCCTCCCCACCCCGAGCAGCGCCGCCACTCCTCCCCTCCCCGAGCAGCGCCACCGCTCCTCCCCTCCTCCCTCTCCCTCTTCATCGACGCGGCTGGCGCGGCCCCTCTCCTTCACCCCCGGATCCGGCCAAATCCATGGCAGGCGTGCCCCCAGGCGGCTGGATCCGGCGCCACCACCTCCACTACGGCGGCCGCGCGCATCATCATCAACTCCGGCGGTTCTACTCTCCCTCCCTCACCGGTGGCGCGAGGACGAGGCAGGGCCGCATCCAGATCCGTCGTCGCCACTGACGACCGAGCAGATCCGCGCCCTCCCCTCCCCCTTCTTCACCCGGCCGGATCCGGCCCTCCGTCTCCCGGATCCCGCCGGTGGCTGCGGTGGTGGTGGTGGTGGTGGCCGGTGGCGGGACGTGGTGGTGGCGGCGGCCATCCCCTCCCCCTTCTTCTTCCCCGGCGGGTGCCCCTCCCCTCCTCCTTCTTCACCCGGCCGGATCCGGCCCTCCCTCTCCAGGATCTGGCCGGTGGCTGCGGTGGTGGTGGCGGTGGCCGACGGCTGGGCGTGGTGGCGGCGGCGGCCCTCCCCTCCCCCTTCTTCTCCCCCGCCGGCGCCCCTCCCCTCTCCCTTCTTCTTCCCCGGCGGGCGCCCCTCCCCTTCCCCTTCTTCTTCCCCGGCGGGTGCCCCTCCCCTCCCCCTTCTTCACCCGGACGGATCCGACCCTCCCTCTCCCGGATCCGGCCGGTGGCTGTGGTGGTGGTGGCCGGCAGCGGGGCGTGGTGGTGGCGGCGGCCCTCCCCTCCCCCTTCTTCTCCCCCGCCAGCGGCCCTCTCCACTTCTTCTTCCCCGGTCGGAGTTCAGCTGCCTTGGTTTCTCAGTTCAACTGTAATGCAGCGTGTGTGGTTCCTCTGACTGGTTGACAGATAGCTGCTATTGAGTCTGGACAACAAGTTCGTCATCAATCCGCTGAAACCAGTACCTGCATCTCCTTTCAGTGTATTAGTCACCAGGAGTACTAGGAGTTCAATAGCTGCAATCAAGCAGGAAAACACTGGTTGTAGCTGGGCCAACATTGTCTATGCACTCCATAGCTTGTGTAACAAATTTGTGCTATTCTGGAATTCCGAATGCATGTAGTGTTCTATCTATTTGCTTCTACTTCCTATATGACTCTAGACAAAGGAAATTAGTAGCCATGGTTGATCCTATCTGTTTTACCTTGCATCCATTGTAGACACAATCTCACTTTTTGTCAACTTAGTTACAGTTGTTCTGTATTCTTACTAATAACTGGCACTTCTGTACCCATAGATTGGGTTCACGCGCACTCAATAGCAAATTAATTTTAAGTGATGCTACAATCTTGGTCAATTCCTCATTTTTCTTCACCTGCAGCTTCTCTATATGTCCTTGTTTTTTCTCAACATTGCTATATCTATATTGACACAAATATCTGCACTGCATGGAGACTATAAGATGTAGTGCGGTGTAAATTGCTTGATGAGATGTCTCTCAAGGTTGTATTGAAAAATCTGGAAGGCTAGCTACTTACACATAGAAACAGCTTTAGGTTTATATAAAAAATCTTTGTGGTTTAATTTGCATTTGCACATTCAAAATGATTTCGGTATTACTGGAATGAAATTTAGGTGTGCATACTGCTGCTTGGGTTCTCTATTTTCTTTTTCCTGCTGTATGATGATTCTCAGAGACCTGCAGAATGCAGGTTACTTTTGAGCAGTCTCATTTACAATCGTATTTGAATATAGTAAGATTTTGTGTTATCTCAGCGTGATAATAGGAGCAAAGCATGTTTATTTCATCCAGCTTACAGGAACCATGCTAGTTGATTTTCCTATTATACTACTTTTAGAACGAATACTTGGAGCGTAATTGGCAACTGAATTATGCTACCTCTAGAATAAAAGTGCTATATACATTTAGAATGCTATCTTGGTTATGCTATTTTTAAAACTTTTGCATGCATGGATGCCTTGTTATGTTAGCAATATTTTTCTTTCTTTTTTCCTTGATTTGAATCTGGGGAAATCACATCAGCAGCCCTTCTAAGAATCTGGGGAAATCACATCAGCAGCCTCCTATTTATGTGTTATCCATTTACATGCCCATCCACTTGCAATGTGTGGTACGAAAAAGTAAAGTTAGTGTTTGTTTCTTACCTGTTGCGTATTTAACCAGTTGAGTATTAACAAAATGTTATCTGAACGCTTAGTTATCTGCATGGGCTTTGGCTAAACAAATTTCATACTTTCCAATGACAAGTTACAACTGTGGGATATGTAGGATGGCTTTTTTTCTACTAAAGTCTGGAGGAACTTAGCAAATATTACCTCCTGTATCGCAGTGACATTTTGGTTTTGCCCTAAGTTCTAATATGTGTTCTATGCTTTCTCAAAGTGTATTAAGGTTGCTTGTGTTTACGGCACAAAACATGTGTCTCGAATCAGAACAAGAGCTTAAATGTTTTTTTAGCAACATGTTGATAACTTTTGAGATAAAACAGCTAGCATGAAATCCCCTAAATATCGCTGATAAATCAATTAAAAGAAGCTCTCATTGAACAGGTCTTATGCACACTTTCATTATCTTCCAAATGTTCCATCTCAGTTACATATGACTCATGCTTTTCGAAATTGTCTTTCCTATTTCTATAACAGGAGTCAAAGTCAGAAATTCTTCGCAGCCAGTTGCAAGTAAGAACTATTCTTTATGCCCTATTGCATGATGGCTTTTCATCTGCTATTGTTCCTTGCAATCATGTCCGTCCACAGCTATGAAAGTGGGTACTATTAGAGGATATGTGTAGAACTTCAAGTAGAGAGACCTAATCCGTTCATTTCCAACTGAATTCTTGTTTTCATAAATGGCACCTGCACTAGTAAGCCATGAGCATGTGTGTTGTCTGAGCCATCTAGCATCTTTATGGCACAAGTATGCCTCTTGCCAGTTCTGATTCCTACCTGACCAAACCCATGTTCACTTAAAACTAATTATTAATTCCACTGCTCACTTGGACTATTTATTTATTGATTACAACTTAAGTCTGTTATGTTGAGAAAACCCACCTAGAGTTCTTTCTTAGCACCTTGAGATTAAGCCTGTTATATTGAAAAAGCCCACCTAGACTGCTTCCATAGCAACTTGAGATGTTTGATCACCTTTCAGAGTGGTCTTCACATCCTTCTAGTCTAGCCTTTGCATTTCTCTGTTTTGTGCCTTGGGTGATGCCGACATGCATGTCTTGATTCCAGTCGCTGCTTCTCAATTAGCTCCTTTCTTTTTTTTCTGAAATTTATTTATGGTGTAATAATCTTTTAGCTGTCTTATGACATTATTGGTAACCCTTTATCTGATTGCCATAACAGGTTGCTCGAGCAGAGGCTGAACATGCCATTCAACTTAGGCAACGATTTGATGGTGCCGTTGTCGCAAATGGCACATGATCTAGTTCTAGTCTACTAATGATTACCCCAACAGAACAAACAGCTGCTATGATACAGGGTTCTGGAGTATTCATGTTGAACATGTAGATGACCAGATATCATATATGTATATATATGATATATGTGCTGATAGATCAGACTGATTCTATTTTTGACATAAGTGTTGACTCCATTCATGATGAACTACTGATTTGCGTATTATTTGAATGAAACCTTGTTGGTCATGCACATAAATTACTGTATGGAAAATATATATTTTAATATGTTGTTGCTACTGTTTTAAAATAATTTTTTTGTGTGTTTAACTCTTTTTTCCTGTGAGGCTGGCTACACATAAATATTATTTTTAATCTGGGCGAAATGAATTTTTTCTGTGAGTTCACCTAGACTGACAGAAAAAAGACGTGTGTTTTTCTGTGTGTTTATTTCTTTTTTTCTGTGTGGATTAACACACAAAAAATTAGTTTTAATCTGGGCGAACATAATTTTTCTGTGCGTGTGAGACCCACAGAAAAATTGTTTCTGACGGTGAACCCACAGAAAAATTCGATTTTTCTGTCATTTTATTTCTGTGTGTTATTTTCTGACGGTACACTGTTAGAAAAATATTTTTCCATGGGTATTCGAATTTTTTCGTGGGTTTTTGCACACACAGAAATATTCGAATTTCCAGTAGTGGTGGGACAACTTCCTTGCGTGTGCCTAGCTAGCCTCTTTTCTGATTGAATTGAATAGTCTAGACCGTTGTAGCTCCTTGCCTCATCACTTGTATTGCGTCCACACTACAGGGGCCATATTCAGCAGCCAGGTATTTTTTATGGGTATCCTTATCCTTATATTAAAACTTCATGTCTAATACTGCACTAGTGATGA